GAATGGAAAAGCAGTTATAGAAAGCAAAAAGCCACAAAAATAATGCAAAATTTTTGAGAGTTTATTTGGAGCAACCCAAAGGAATATAATCCCAATGGAAGGTTGATCAAACGAGAACAAGAATGAAGGATAAACATGTGCAAGAATGGAAAAATATAACCAAGAATAATGTTAGGCAAGATCTAACAAAATCCGAAAAATGGAAATCCCAAGGAATTGACAAGATACCCATCTTGTAGCTCTATCATCAATCCATAAAGCTCTGGCACAAACTTTATCATTGCTAATTAATTACCCCAATGAAATTCCAAAATGGATCACTGAAGGTATTACAACCTACAAAAAATAATCGGATAAAACAGATCAAATAATTATAGGCCAATAACATGTCTGTTCACTATATACAAATTGAGCAAGTCTGTTCTGACGAACTGTACTTAGTTTTTTCTCGATGAAAAAAAACATTATTCCTCTGGAACAAATAGATGTTGAGTAGAATCCTATGGATATAGACATCAACTACTAATAAATAAAATGATCCTGGAAATTTGCAGGAAAAGGGGTAGAAATCTTGGTGGATAGAATGCCATAAAACCTTTGTTAGTGTGCCACATTCTTGGATCCTAAAGGCTTTGGAAATGTACAAAGTCTCTTCGGTGATAGTAAATTTCCTTAAATGTAGCATGGAACTGAGGAAAACCACATTATACCTAAATCACACTAAAGGTACTGCTCCTTCCAATTGTTTGAATATCCGAATAGAAATCTTTCAAGGAAACTTCCTGTCGCCCTTTTTGTTCTGTCCTTAATCTCCCTTTCGCATGAACTAAACAGTAATAACCACTGGATACAAAGTAAAAAAAAAGAAAAGAAAGTGTTTAATCATCTATTCTACATGGATAAGATTAAACTCTGCCAAAGACGACAACGAGTTGAAATGTATCCTCAATATTGTAAAATGTTTCAATGATGACATTAGTATGGATTTCGAATTAGATAAATGTGCAAAATTAACATCCAAGAAAGGTTGAATTACAGAAACACACTCGATAGATTGAGATTTTCTCACAAAGATTAAAAAACTGGAACAAGAAGACTATAGGTATCTAGGAATTAGCGACGAGGATGGAATACAGTATAGACAGGCCTGTGCATCTGGTGTTAAATTCTGAGTTGAATTCACAAAACAGAATATGAGTCATAAAAATATTTATTGTCCCTGTGATGCAATACAGTTTCAACATCCTTAATTCGGCCATTAAGCAAATGGATGTCAAAGCGAAAAAGCTTCTCACTTGACACCGCATGCATCATCCTAAAGCTGATGTTGATCGTCTGTATGTTTTAAGATCTGAAGCAGGCAGAGGATTAGTTCAACTAGAACTGTGTTACAAACCCACAACAATCACTTCAAAGATACCGGAAAACTACAAAATACTGGATGATGATCCGTGTCAAAAAATATGAAGGAAATACGAGACTTTATTCAGTAATAAAGGAAGCCAATACATTCAAAAGGGAATTTTAATTTGGTGAAGAAATGCAAATAAACCATAATACACATACTGTAATGGCAAAGAACCTAAAAAAGAAAACAAAAGCAAATTCAAAAACAATGGCACGATAAGCCTCTTCATGATCAATACTCATCAATACTAATCTTCCCGTACCAAACGAGCAGATGTAAACAAACCATCAGTGGTTACGTTGTGCAGGGTTAAAAGCTAAAACCGATGGTTTTATTCTTGCTGTACGGGACCAATGCTTACTAACTAGAAATTAACAAGTACACATACTGAAAAACTGTCAAACCGAAATTCAGATTGTGGGCTAAATATCCAGAAACAATTGAACATCTTGTATCAGATTGCACAGTTTTAACAACCACTAAATCTAAAACTCGGCATGATAGAGTGGGCCAATATCTGCACTGACAAAATATGCAAATTTTAAGGGAAGGAAACTGCAAGAAACATTTATGAACATCATCCAAACCCGGTTATAGAGATAAGACCCGTAACAATTTTATGGGACTTTAAATACATACAGACAGAACAATCGAAGGTAATCGACCAGATATTTTGATCAAAGCCACAAAAACAGAATATGCTTTAATACTGACCTGGCAGTCCCTGCAGATTGTAATGTATTTTTTGAAAATATTCAAAAAACTATCAAAATACAAGGATCTTGAAGTAGACACCTAAAAATGTGGCACATGAAGACATAAATAATTCCAGTTGTAGTTGGAGCTCTTTTATTGATTAGAAAAGAATCCGATAAACACATTGAAGGTATTTCTAGTTGTCCATGCTTTAAAGAAATACAAAAAAAATTGTACTCACAAGTATAGCTCACAGATTACGAAGAGCTTTATCTATGTAAAATGTGTGATTGCTGGTTTTTATTTGTTTGTTTTTTTACAAAAATGATCAGTGAAAATGTCATAAAGCCATTTCTGATCTTAGATCTCTGGTTGAGAGCCAAAACGAAATGTGAA